GGGGGTGCAAATTTCAATAGCGGCTGAACAGATTTACAAATATTTGGACAGGTAAGACAGTTCGGATGCTTATCCGAGCTCTGCCAAATAGAAAAACAAACTCCCAACGCCTCTCCAAGGTGTTACTACCGGCATTTGCCTTCGGCCACATGTGATCTTTACCATTACACCATAAAACAAAAAATACAAATACAGTTCCAGAAAAGCTTTTATATGCAGATTGTTTATCAAATCCTTTCAGATTATGTCTGTCTGTCCCGTACTTGTGAAAATCATGTTTTTTGGATGAACATCACAAATGCAACTGATGAATGTTATCGGGTCAGACATTCGATGTCAATGACGGCGGTCCAGGTTGAAGTGCACGGAATGAATCCTTTGTATAGAATATTGTCTGTCATTGACACATCCAAAGTCATGCAAGTTGGACTTTATGTAGGCCGTATACAGAGACACAACGCCAGGGAATGTGGGTGTAAAATCTAACGCAGAACCGCACCGGCTGTGCCAGGAAACGGCACAAATAAAAAGAATCTCCAAAAATAAATGAGGACATCCGGCAAAAAGAAAAATCCAGATTTGTTCAAAACCGTTTCATATACCAGCAAAATAAGCCCCCGAGTATATTGAGTAGGGATGCACCGATCCCAAGTACCATGCTCGGTACAAGTACAGATACTTTTCCAGCTCCAGGACTAGACTAGAGAAACATTCAAAAGTTAGGAGGCCGCTGTCATGTGTAAGGAGCACACGGAGCTCCAGGGATTTGTACATCTCTGTTATAATGTATGATTTGTTTTTATAAATATATAATCGGGATGCACCGATACCAGTTTTGCGAGTACAAGTACTGATACTCGTCCAAGTCCTCACATATACAAGTACTGATACATTTTTGTTTATTGTCATGTGACAGCATTTCTAAAACAATACAGACTAATTTTTTCAGGACAGTGGTGGAGCGCCGGAGCCCGGTCCCAGCTGCAACCCTTGCCACCCTGGTAGTTCTCATGAAAATGCCAATTATCGGCACTGGTATCGGTGCATCCCTAGTATTGAGGTTATTTAGAAAAAAAAAGGACATTTACATTTCATCTACAGCAAGCCATCATCAAAAACAACCATGGCACCAGTACGTTTGTACTACTACTACTACTCACCGGTAACAGCAAGCTTGTAAACAGAAGGGCTTATCTTCCGCTCATGTGTGACTGGGTTATACGCGGCACATCTATAGGGTCCCCGATCCTCCAATGTCACATTGACTATCTGAAGGTTTCCAGAGGGCAGGATGAGGTACTTATCTAATGAAAGAACAGAGAAGAGAGTTACTTTCTGCCAATAGGAGACATCACATGTTTATAACCAAAATTTTCTTTTCCCTCTATTGGATAGAGCGGGGAAGGGTTGTAACGGCAATTTACAAGCTTTTTACCATAGAGGAACCCCCCTAACAATAACTTTCTGGTGTCAGGGAACCCCCGTTAATAATGACCAGATCTACAGGTCAAAGTACATCAGCCTGAAGAATAAGCGGAGAGATAAAAATAAATAAAAGACGAATTTGGGGTGATTGACGCCCGGGTCTGCTCTATACAACATCATCATGAACATGGAAATTAAAGGAATGGGGACGATGGTCAGAAAAGAAATGCAGACAGTGACCATCATAAATTGTCTTTCATCACCTGGATGCTCACTGGAGAAATGATGGTCAGTGGAAACGTGTCCCCTCATGTCAGTGGTCATTGTTGTGTCCCCCTTAAATGAGTCATCATGGAAATGCTCTCCTGTATTGGTGGTCAGTGAGAGAAGGGTTCCATCACGCTGGTGGTCAGTGAGAGAAGGGTTTCATTACACTGGTGGTCGGTGAGAGAAGGATTCCATTACACTGGTGGTCAGTGAGAGAAGGATTCCATTACACTGGTAGTCAGTGAGAGAAGGATTCCATTACACTGGTAGTCAGTGAGAGAAGGATTCCATTACACTGGTAGTCAGTGAGAGAAGGGTTCCATCACGCTGGTGGTCAGTGAGAGAAGGGTTCCATTAAACTGGTGGTCAGTGAGAGAAGGGTTCCATCACGCTGGTGGTCAGTGAGAGAAGGGTTTCATTACACTGGTGGTCGGTGAGAGAAGGATTCCATTACACTGGTGGTCAGTGAGAGAAGGGTTCCATCACGCTGGTGGTCAGTGAGAGAAGGGTTTCATTACACTGGTGGTCGGTGAGAGAAGGATTCCATTACACTGGTGGTCAGTGAGAGAAGGGTTCCATCACGCTGGTGGTCAGTGAGAGAAGGGTTTCATTACACTGGTGGTCGGTGAGAGAAGGATTCCATTACACTGGTGGTCAGTGAGAGAAGGGTTCCATCACGCTGGTGGTCAGTGAGAGAAGGGTTTCATTACACTGGTGGTCGGTGAGAGAAGGATTCCATTACACTGGTGGTCAGTGAGAGAAGGGTTCCATCACGCTGGTGGTCAGTGAGAGAAGGGTTTCATTACACTGGTGGTCGGTGAGAGAAGGATTCCATTACACTGGTGGTCAGTGAGAGAAGGGTTCCATCACGCTGGTGGTCAGTGAGAGAAGGGTTTCATTACACTGGTGGTCGGTGAGAGAAGGATTCCATTACACTGGTGGTCAGTGAGAGAAGGGTTCCATCACGCTGGTGGTCAGTGAGAGAAGGATTCCAATACACTGGTGGTCAGAGGGAAGAATACTCCTCACAATGGTGGTCAGTGAAAGGAATGTCCCACTTACAGACATCCAAAGTTGATTAGTGTTACTTATCTAAGAGACAGAAAGTTCTAATTTTTCAAGAAACCTTTTGGGAAGTCCTGGGGCTCCATGTGACATCCTGTGCTCAGGCTCTGAAATGGTCTTCCCAGAACAGAACTTTGTCTCGCGTCTGGTTCACCCTTTTTTGTACTACTTCTTGATATTATGCAAGCTAAATGTCCATTCATTTCAACCAAGATGATTTAGGAAATTGCAGGTGTTGTAGCTCGGGTCACAAGAGATTCTTACCTGAGCGCATGCTGCTCAGAATATCCCATAAATAAGCTTCCAGTCCAGATATTCACACACTTACCGCGAGCAGATTGATCTGTCCAGCCATTTCCCCCTCACTCGATAATGGATCTGAGCACGCGGAACACTGGATGGAACACCACATGTTATAATGGCCGTGCTTCCTTCTTCAGCCACCACAGAGACTCTAGAGACCGATTCAAAGTCTCCCAGATCTGCAGGACAAGGAAGAGAATGGTCATATACATAGAAAGCACTGTGCACAATGTTAAGATTAACAATGGTCTAGCTATGTAGTTGTATTCACTAGCAGGGGGCTAATAAAAATATGGATGTCTGCTTGTAATGGCCAATGTGCTTATCAGCGGGCTTGCCGCCCGGCATTTTGAATGAATCTACCAACAACGACTACATTAAATTATTTGCTGGACATGCGTTACTGGAATTCTGGCTGATTAATGCGGAATTGGTTGGAATTGGAGCCAAGGCCCAATGCTCTTTCATTATTTTCAGCATCATGGAGACTTGATGTAAATGAGGCTTTCCGCTAGCAACCAAATTCCCCATTCATGCAGCATCAGAGAAACACCCTTCAGATATTATATGGATGAGGGAACCATGACTTGTGGTGTGCAGGGAGATTAGCACTTAGAATAAAGAGAATACAGTCATGGAAGGTTTTACATATCATGTCTACAACCTTATTCAGGTTATTCTCCTCTATTCCAACATGACCATTAGGTGCCTGGTGTGTAGAATACTTACATGCCACCGACACGTTGGCAGGGGTGCTAATAAGAGAGCCTCTGCTGGTGTTGATCGTGCACTGGTATCGGCCAGCATGGTGCAGACCCAGAGACAAGATGGTCAGGTGACCAGGCTGAATGTCCCCATCCCGAGTTCTGTCCAAAAGTCTCCCGTTAAATAACCAAGAAATATGGGACCACGGCGGTTCAGCAGCACATAATAACGTGACCGGCACGCCAGGCTTCTGGACAGTGGAAAGGGGCTCAGACAGGAATCGGGGCGTCACATCTAAACAAAACAAAAACAAGTTACATTACAACCAAGGGGTCAGATCTGATGTACAATCCATTCTGGCAATGTTATATATAAATCGAAAGCGGTATAAGAAATGAACTCTAAAGGACGGCTGAAGCCTGGTTTTTGGAATGATATGAAAGTTAACTGGATGTGGAGTACAAGTGATATTTGGAGGATTCGTGGAAGGATATGAAGATGAACCAGTTAGATGAGGAACATGAGCGGGAACAACATTACAAAAAGATATCTTCCTGGATTCATAGAAGATGGAGATTACTGGGGTGAGGGGCACGAGTGAAGAGTGACATTAGGAGTAAAGTGTCACCATGGAATGAGATAAAGATGAAGATTAGGTGGATGAGGGACAAGTGAAGAGTGATACAAGGAGGAAGGCTTCAACACGGAAGACATAAGGTGGAATTAGTTGGAGAATGGGCCTGGGTGCAGAGTGATAATAAGAGTCAGGCATGTCAATGGAATGATATGAAAATAGAGATTAGGTGGATGAGGGAGATGAGTGGGAAAGTATTACAAGAAAAGGTATTTGATGGAAGGATACCAAGATGGAGATTATTTGGATGAAGGGCCTGAGTAAAGAATGATATATAAAGTAAGGTATTTGATGGAATGATTCGAAGATGGAGATTATCCCTGAACACTCATCTGTTCAGGGAAGCCTATCCCACCTCCACCTAACCACTGAACTCTTTCTCAGACAATTCATCCCCACACAGCTCCCTCCACATGTATCACTGGCCCCTCCCCTTTAGATTGTAAGCCCTCAGGGGCAGGGCCCTCCTTACCATCTTGTCTTGATTTGTATTGTAACTATAATGTCTGTGCGAATTGTTGGTACAATATAAATCCTATATTATAACAGTAATAATTATTATGTGGGTGAGGGGCATGAGTGGAGAGTGATATAAGTAATAGGGCATTTGAGGGAATGATACCAAGATGGAGATTATTTGGGTGAAGGGCATGAGTGATATAAGAAGTAGGGTATCATGCAAAGATAGAGATAATTTAGGCGGGGGGGCATGACTAAAGAGTAAGCATAGCTGTAAGGCTTCTTGACGGAATGAGGATTGAGGTTGATACATAATTGAAGAGTGATAATAAAAATAAGATATGGAAGGTCTGAGGTTAGCTGAAGGAGGGTCATATTAGGGGTACAGCGTACTGATGGAATGACACAGGTTGGATAGGAGAGGACTCTTACCGTGTTTCCCCGAAAATAAGACACTGTCTTTTTTTTGGGGCCCCAAAAAATACACTAGGTCTTATTTTCGGGGTAGGTCTTATTTTTTTTTTTTTAATGTACAACAATCCAAAGTGAATGCAAATCCACATTAAATAATCCAAAATGGCAATGTTAAGAATAGTGTGATCAGGGCAATCAGGGGTGCCGTACCTTTCCAAGAGCAATTTGGTAACCAGAATGAGCGAAACACGCTTTCCCTATCGATTCCTCACAGGCGGAGTGAGTTTGGTATCACTTCGCCTGTGACAGGAGCCGGCGCTATAGAGGAAAGCATCAACTTGTGTGGCTCTGCTCCCTCCGGTGCCGCCTCGCTTACGCTAGCGCTGGCTTCATTGGCACCGCTGATTCTCTCCCGCAGCTCTTCAAGTTCCCCCTTATGCCACCACCGGCCCCGGAACGGTCACAGCTAGTTCTTATTTTCGGGGAAACGCGGTAGATAAAAAGCACAGCGTATGGATGAGAAGACTGAGCTGAGCTGGGCCAAGTAGCCACCCACACACACTCTACATGGAGATTGGCCACTATACTTTTCATTTTTCCTTCAGGAGCACAATATAAGACAAGACCATCGAGTTCCGTACCTGAATCTCCACGTGTGCACAGCAACAGAAGCGAGAAACAAAGTAGTGGATGCCACGGCCCAGGATGCATAGCGCTGTGTCACACCGATGAACAGTGCAAACGTCCAGGAGAAAAGGAGGGAGACGACACAGTCTGGAAAAAAAAAGAAAAAAGACACCAAAAATATGAGCTCACGCCTGACTGCCGAGTACGTCACTTACACTTCCAATGTGAGAGGAAACCATTATACAGAAACAAGTCACTAGATTTGGGGTTCTCTGTATTCTTTACTGCAACATGTGTCACCTAATGATGTAATACAGTCACTCTATTACCCCGGTGAGATCTCAGTGAATGACACGGCGCTGGCGCTATTCTGACCATGGAATAGAGAATCAGTACAGTACAGATACGGATTGTAGTATACAGGATACACATCGCTGTGTCATCATCACTAGGACACACTATACACAATCATCATGGGCAGTAATCACTAGGACACACACTATACACACATCATTGAATCAGGTGCTGCATGGGATATACATTTCTGTATCATCTGTAGATGGCGGTATAGTCAGAGATTTATACGTTTTAGTCAGGCAGCAGTGCAGTATACGGGATATACATTATCCAACCATGGAAAGGAAAACAGTATAGTTCACTGGACATATACATTACTGAACCACTGACAGGCAGCAGTATAAAACATACACTGTTCATTGATGAATCATGTACAAGCAACACTCTAGTTTATTAGATTCCTTAGTACACTGATATATATTATAGAATCATGGACAGGCAGCAGCGCAGTACACGGATAATACATTATAGAATCATGGACAGGCCGCAGCGCAGTACACGGATAATACATTATAGAATCATGGACAGGCCGCAGCGCAGTACAATGACATAGAATATAGAATCATGGACAGGCAGCAGCACAGTACACTGATATATAATATAGAATCATGGACAGGCCGCAGCGCAGTACAATGATATATAATATAGAATCATGGACAGGCAGCAGCGCAGTACACTGATATATAATATAGAATCATGGACAGGCCGCGGCGCAGTACAATGATATATAATATAGAATCATGGACAGGCAACAGCGCAGTACAATGATATATAATATAGAATCATGGACAGGCAGCAGCGTAGTACACTGATATATAACATAGAATCATGGACAGGCAGCAGTGCAGTACACTGATATATAATATAGAATCATGGACAGGGAGCAGCGCAGTACACTGATATATAATATAGAATCATGGACAGGGAGCAGCGCAGTACACTGATATACATTAGAGAATCATGAACAGGCAGTAATGCAGTACACTAGATATACACCGCTGAATCATTCAGTGTGCCTCTGAGACGCGTGGTAATTGTATTCATTGTGTGTACAAGGCATGGATTCCCTCTGGGCCTTGTTGTAGGGAGACCTTAGAGAAGAGCAGAGGGAAGTCCCTGAGCACACCTCGGATCAGGGGTACCCATTGGCAAAGGGTGCCATACCTAATGCTTAGTCCAGCCCCGAGTGCCCCTTCCCAGCTCGCTCACTGGCACAGTGCAGGGCACTGGAAGCCCATATGGTGGAGGAATAGACAGCGGTAAGCAGCTCTTGCTGGGCCGACATTGTCCGGCATTCATGGGGAAGAGCAGCTGGCGGGAGGCAGCAGCAGCTGCTGGGAGCTGGCCGGGTTTATTTTACATTCTCTCGGTTGAAGAGCAGCAGAAGTCCACAGAGTGCGCAGAGCAAAATAAACAGGGGACCCGTTAACACGGAGCACTTCACCAGAGAGCAACACACAGGCCTGCTGTGCCAAACTTCTCCCACAGATATTTATTTAAAGAAGACCCTCGCGCCCACATGAGACACAGGAACCTTCTCAATTACCCGCCGCCGGGGGCACTCGTGTGAGTCCACAGTGTCTACTCGGGTCAGCAAACCTAAAATACAAGTTTCCTTCTATAAAGAGCTTCTAATAACATGCAGAAATATTTATGTGAGCGCCGCGGAAAGCCCACACATGACTGGAGGCACTTGTGGGGCTGACCTGTAAATAGGGAGCGAGAGCCAAGCTGCTGCCCACAGCTGCCGCTTTCCACATTCAGATGAAACAAACAATATTATTGCCACGGGCAACATTTATACTTCAGATCTCATCAGCCCTATAAAGAGGACCGGTGGGCTCCACCAATCAGAATTGACGCTTCAAATAGGCCTAGCATCATCAGATAGGTTTTCCAGGTTGAGATCATGTATGCTTCAGCTGCCCGTACACCTTGCAATCATCGGGTGAAAATTTTCCGTCCGATGGTCGAACCGTCGTACGAGTTATGTATGGCGGCCCCATCCTGCACCGACCCTCGCACAGTTCAATTAGCGGTCTTTAGCAGAAAGCACCTGGACGAATTGCGTTAATCGTCAGCGCGGATTTTTGTTTGCGCATGAGCGGTGTTAATCGTGCGAATTTTGACGCGCGTAAACGCCACCGACCTTGCGAAAATCGTACGATCGACCGAAGTTTTCTAACCTGCTGGAAAGGACGAACGTCGTACGATTGCGCAGTATTTGCGGCTGTAGATTCCCCATCAACCTTACGAATATCGGACGAAAGCGCGATCTCAAAACGAAGATCGCCCGATATTCGTAAGGTGTTTGCGGATGACACCAAAATAGGGAGGGTAATAGACACGGACTTAGACACTATAACATTACAGGAGGACCTGGATAAAATAGGGGAGTGGGCATTAATGTGGCAGATGAGGTTTAATGTCGATAAATGCAAAGTAATGCACTTTGGAATTAAAAATAAACAAATGGGTTATACAATTATGGGTATGCCGCTGGGGAAGTCAGAAATGGAGAAGGATTTGGGGGTCATTGTAGACCACAAACTGAAAGGTAGTTTGCAGTGCCAGGCTGCTGTAAACAAAGCTAGCAGGGTCTTGTCCTGTATTAAAAAGGGGATGTATTGCAGGGACAAGTCTATAATTTTGCCACTTTATAGATCATTGGTTCGACCTCATCTGGAGTACGCGGTCCAGTTCTGGTCACCAGTACTAAGAAAAGATGTCCTTGAGTTGGAAAAAGTCCAGCGAAGGGCAACCAAACTAATTAGGGGTATGGAGGACCAGAGCTACGAGACGAGGCTACTAAATTTAAACATGTTCACATTAGAGGTGAGGAGATTAAGGGGGGATATGATTTCCATGTACAAAATGTTCAATGGTGGTAGCAACATTAGCGATAAACTGTTTAAAATTAACTCCGTTACAAAAACTAGAGGCCATCACCTAAAATTGGTGGAAAAAAAATTCCAGCACAAGGGGCGAAGGGGGTTCTTCACAGTAAGATCAGTTAGGGTCTGGAACTCACTGCCACAGGCGGTGATTTCAGCAAAGAATGTGGAATTGTTCAAGAATCTGTTGGACGATTTCTTAAGGGACCGTAATATACAGGGGTACGGGTACTCCTAGAATGAGATCCTAATAGGTTGGACTTGATGGACTAATGTCTTTATTCAACCTCAAATACTATGTAACTATGTAACTATGTGTACGGGCAGCTTAAGCCACAAGGAACTCTTCCAGGCATTACCCCTCAACAGCTCTGTCCAGGCGATGTGCAACATCAGCATCCTCTCTCTGGCTTAGAAATGGCACAATCATGTAAATCCCGCTGCATGTGCATTTCTCGCTCGCCTTGAGACTTGCGGCAAAGTTACAATGTTGCAGTCCGATCACTGGAATGATAAAATAACTTTGCTGTACATTGTGACAGGTTAGGAATGTAGATAGAAGTCACCAGCACTCTCTTGTGATGTGCAAAAAGCATAGCACTTTTATTCATGCGTCACAAAGCCAACGTTTCGGGGCCGCGCAGTGTCCCTTCATCAGGGCGACACCGTGACGATATCGCCCTGATGAAGGGACCCTGTGCGGTCACCCTGATGAAGGGACCCTGTGCGGTCGCCCTGATGAAGGGACCCTGTGCGGTCGCCCTGATGAAGGGACCCTGTGCGGTCGCCCTGATGAAGGGACCCTGTGCGGTCGCCCTGATGAAGGGACCCTGTGCGGTCGCCCTGATGAAGGGACCCTGTGCGGTCGCCCTCAAGGGACCCTGCGCGGCCCCTAAACATTGCCTTCTTGACACATGTAACGCATCAATAAAAGTGCTATGCTTTTTGCACATTACAAGTGAGCGCTGGTGACTTCTATCCTCATTCAGGGACGTATCCGCGCAGGCCTGTAAAGTTACTGAAGGTCTACTTGAAGAAAACTGGACAAATGGAAGGGTATTAAAAGGAGAACTATGGGGTTAAAGGGGGGGGAAAAACCCCCCCCCCCCCCCTCATAGTTCTCCTTTAATGTTTGCAACCAATCAGCTTGTAACCTTCATTCTCTAACATTCGCTCGGAAACTTGGCACCTGGTTGGTTGTCGCGGGCGCGAGCTTTACTTTTTTTCTTTTTACAAAGATTGAACTTCTGACTTGAAATGAGAAGTATGAAAGTCCAGAGTTCCGGGAAACGAGGTGGGAATGTACAGGAATGGTAATTTGAGTGAGCTGGAAGATACCATCTTAGCCGTGTGCGAGTCTACACTGAGGCCTGGTGATATCTATAGGAAGGGAGAAGCAGGAGTAGATTACGGCTTTATTTACACTACAAAGCCCAGCAAATTCTCCTGGAGGTCATGCTCTACACTCAGCTAAGTGCTCAGTTGAACTTAATATACGCTTACTGTTTTATGGGTCATTCCCGGCCAGATCTGCGTATTACCGGGGTGGGTATGGCCAGGTATTGACATTAAGCTGGGACCACTCAACCTGTACACACCAATGACAGGCTGGGAGGCTCCGGAGCTGTGACAACACACGGAGAGCACACCTGTGTTGGGGACAGAGGAGCGGCTCTGGACACAGAATCTGCATACAGAGCCGTCATCTGTCCATGGCTGCATGTCATTGCTCCTTGAATGCCCCAGACAGCGACAGCCTGTTATTGGTTTGTACAGACTTCCTGAATGCAAGTGCCTGGCCATATCCAACCTAGAAATACACTGCTGGGGGGGGCAGAGTCTGGAATATCCGTGTGGATGAACCCTCAGCAGCCAGCCAGAAGATTTATAATTCTG